CATCATCAGTGCTTGTGAAGTGGCAGTCATGAGGCATGACCCACTCACTATCTTTGATTTCCCTCCGCGAAGATCAAGGACACCAGTTTGACTTCGCTTCAGTGAAAATTATCGACCAAGCCCGGTCAAAACACACCAGGGAATTCCTCGAAGCTTGGCACTTTTCAATCAACAGACGCATTGCACTGGACCACATGTACACGCCAATGCAACTCAAGGATCAAATGATGCAACAAAACAAGGTCACGGCGTGATCTGAGAACGGACCGAAACCGCCATCAGGACGGATGGACAACCACTCGCCGCTACCAACCTCACCCTCACGCACCAGTTTAACGGCGAACCCAGTCGAACACAGCGAGAACAAGAGACAGCAATGGTCGGTGGAGAAGAACACATATATAAACGAACGGACACAAGCAGAACACTGCCACTTCACAAGCACCGATGATGTCACCTCGGCTGGTGACGATGAGACGTTTGCGAACAAATTGCCAAGCACGGCGAACAGGCGAAATAGAAGATAGACGTCTCATGTGGCCTATATGCCCTGTTCCTCAGGAAAAAAAAACAAATAAGTACACACCGAAAGAGACAGTAGACACAGGCATACGGAATTAAGAATATCAAGTTTGGATTGGCTCATTCGATTTTTTTTTGTAAGGCACTAGGTGTGGGTTTCACTCTTTCAAAGATCGCCAATTCCCAACCAGCGGAATACGTAAAAAACGCCAGTGAACTAGTTGTGATGACCGTCAGCTCTGTAGTTCAACGGTAACGGTTTGACGTTCCGATCCGAATGTTTGCGTTTCGAATCCTGAGGCGGTTCCGGTAATACATATCACCAAATTTCTACTCAGGAGTGAAAATAAGTCTAAGGAAATACAAACTTTGGTATTAGTACCAAACGACGCAACACCTTTTAATGAAAAACGTGGATAAACAGTCACACACCCAAATGACACAAAATCAGATGAAACACCCTCTGAGGGTAAAAACCTGCATTCGCAGCCGAGAAAAATTCTCAGATTGGATAGAAAAAGAACCTTAATAAATAATGTTTCATTTAATTTGTGCATTAACCGTGGTTATTTCACTACTCAAACTGAAACCTACGTTGCCGTAAAAATACTTCGCAGACGAACTTGATCAGATTGAGAACATTTTTAGGGAAAGGTTTATCGAGAACAACTTAGTAGAAAAAATGAAATCACGAGCCTGTTCAGGAAGCTCCGAAGAAGCAACTGTTTAGCGCGTACCGTGAGAGTAACCTTCAATACCGCCAGGTTGTCAGGCGTATTCACTGGCTCACCTATAATGAGAGTATTCAATAAAGACTGTTTACCTACGCTGGCCTCATCTATGATCATACATATTCCTTCACAGCTGCGCTCGTAATGCGACCATCGTTGACCGAACGGCGAAGCAACTGTCTCAGTGGATTAACGAGCACTGTCCCCGATGGCTTCAACACAGTGGAAAAGGTGTCACCGGAAGCGCCATGTTCGCTCACCTAGCAGACTCGAGTCACAAAAAGTGAAGCCTGAATCAGCCTTTCAAATAATCCATCGAGTACCACCTCACCCGTCCAAGTCGCTGCGTCTCAACACCCCAGCTACGGCGAAAGCGACCGGCACTCGTTTATTCAAACCCAGTCTATGAGCGCACAGAACAGATTGGCCCAAATCGCTATTAAACTGCCGTGGCCGAAGATCGATCGTGCGGATGACGCATCACAGTTTGAGTGCAGTGTTACGGTGATCATCTAGGGGCGTAAAACACATCGCACCACCTCTCCCCCCCCCCCCCNTGACTATCCCCATTCAAAATGTCATTTTCCTATTGGATCTATACAGGCCAGAAGATGAATCAATGAAGAGAATTCTTCGTCTCTTAACTCCTGTGTATTCATATAAAACACTTTCAAAAATTCGAACCCCGCATTGCTGGTGCGATAGGTGACGTATGACGTCTGCGGCCCTAATCACTTTGTCAGATTTTTAATGGAATGCGATTTGTGTATTCATTTAAAATTGTATCTGATTCATTTTGAGTTACAATGGTTTTAACTGAACCAAAAAGTTATGGAATTTCAATCAACTTTGGCATTATAAACGAGCAATGTTGAATGCACGCCGAGAACTGTTGGTTGTGTTTTGGATAATGATAGCATTTGGTTTACCTGTGCCATACACGTTTGGAGATGAATGCGAAGTCCGTTCACTTGGTATACAGGAATATTTTGGGACTGAAGACAAATGTTGAGTTTTCATCGTGTGTTTAGGTCGATGGGACGAATCCTCAACAGCTGACACTATATGTGATGTTCACCTTCAAATAAAGGTCATTTGGTTTCAACCCCCCCCCGTTGCGTAGTGACACGAATCATTAGTTTGTTGTATACCACTGTATTCGTTAGAATTTCCAAGGTTTTCATTTCACAAGATCAGCTTAGATAATGTTTATATTGGTTATCGATTGTGTGTCACCTGTAAATAAGCGGTTCAAAATCGAAATGCAGTGCACTTGACGAATATCTGAACAGACTGATCTGACCGCAAAGAATTAACAAACCCTTAAAGTTGGTTTGTTACTTCGATCACTTTGTATCCGATTTTCACGACTCACTATTACACTTATAAGCATGAATGTGGTAAAGTACAAGTTTTGCTTGAATCAACAATTCGATTTACTTTTCTCAGTCTAAGAAGCAAGACAGTTGGGAGTAATCCTTTTTCCCAGTCTGCTAAGCTTGAAAATTTTCTCCAAACTTTTTAACATCCACCCAATTATCATTCTATGTATGTGCTGAACGGCTGTCTCATCTCGACCGCTGATGATACGTTTGCGCAAATGTTACCAAGTTCTGAAAACAGATGGAAATGAATTCAGTACCTCTTCCCACCCAACCCCTCAAAGCTAAGATAAATGATCTTAATACTTGTAGGAAAAGTCACATAGAAACTACAGGTGACAATGGGCATCGTCAACTCAACAGTTTACAGAAAGCTAGTGGATAGCAACTCCACTAACATCCAAACGGCCTTATGTTGTCGGCTTGATTTGTTTTCCGGTAAATTGAAATAATCCGTTATTTGATCGTTTAAATGGCCTTCTAGGGCAAAAATTGATTTTTGGTGCAATTACGAAAAATCACCGACAGTGCTGGGGGCCAAGCCAATTTTCCGATTCCTCTGATGTAAGTTTGATAGTCGAAAAACCATAAGGCTCTTGCTTTGTTTTGCAGTTGTTAGGTTATCAGACACGTGTTCTGTCAGACACCGGAGTTGACTTTGCCTATGCATTTATCATTTGCAATGCGAATAAACAGACAGATAACGGGAGGAGTAACTGGAGTGTGATTTGCACAGCAGTTTCGGCAGTGTAATATTCCCATAATTTTTCCTGAGTGCAAAATTACCCACCGAATATGCTCGTTTTTCGATCGATTGCAAATCAATACGGATCAAGAACGAAGTTGAAAATATCAAACCGATGGATCGATCTTAATCCAATTTAATTTTGAATCATCAGCAAAATCAAATGAGTGGGTTTATGCTGAACTCAACAGTAGTGCAAGTGAAAGATGCCTTTGCTCACATCCTTTTATGTGAACCAAAGCTAAATCCAGTCAGTCACTTTTGTGAATCGGGTTAAACATTCGCAATCTGCTTCAAATTAATCAAACCGTAATGCGCCAACTCTTGTAGTAACACTGCTCGATCCGACTACTTTCTAATATATTGTTTTGTTGACTATACGAAACACAATTCCTAACGGTATTGAAAATAAATGAATCAAGGAAAACATCTTCGTGTTCGGTTATTTCTTTTCTGCCTGTGTCTTTTGAACAAAACATTTACCCCGGGGTAGGATATCAAATATTTGATACTGGCTGTCAAACACTAAGTGCCTTCTACATCCCTTACGGTAAACATTCACATCCGAAAATAACTTGAAGGATGCCGAGGAGGAGACAATAAAATGTTATTTTACTGCGAAGTGCGAAACGTCCGAGTCTTTAGTGATGAAGTTTCTTAATGACATGCACAATGGACTTTATAATCAAGAATTCGCTGAGAGTCTTACCTCCCGCGAACTTGCGAACAGCTTGTTTCCACCAAAACATAAAATAAATCCTAAGGGTAAAGATAGAGAGCTGAAATCAATTCCTCCCATAAACTCAATTGTCGGAAGAGCTCACAGGCAGCAAAGTTGCACTAAATGAAATTTTCATTGTGTCAATTTGCTTGTCTATTTCTCTCTTCAAATTGTGATTGTACGAAAGTTTCTCTCTGTATGTTTTTAAATGTGAATGACCCAGTTTCCTCCCCGCTTAATGGTTGATGAGTTGCTTGCTGAGATTGGCAATTTACTGTAATTGAGACCGTCAACAAGCATCTGAATACTGAGCCGTTTAAACTGAATTCTACATCACATTTTAAAACGTTACACACATCAGGAGTGTAAATTACATGCAAAATGTCCACGTAAATCACTGTTTGGCAACAGGAACAAACATAAAAACGAGAAAAAAACACATACTACTATTATTAGTACTATCACTATTACACTTTCTATTACCACCTGAAAACACAACAGTTCTCTGTCCTTCGGTGTTCAGCTTTGAGTGAATACGTATGTTCTCGGTTATATAGTTTCTTGCATGAGTAGTTTTGATTCGGATGCCTGGGAGAAAAGGTTTCCGATTCAATATTTTATTGACAATATTATAAAGAACATTTGGATTTTAACTCACACGAGTTGCATAGTGAAGGGTAACAGTATGCATGACACGGTGTGTGCGATTACATGCGTGCTAATGTTCAACAGCTGCGATGCTCAGAATGTCTCGATTGGGCCGATAGTTGAATTTCAGTCGTATCTGTAATCCACGCATAGGAATTGATCAAATACTATATCGGACTGATGAGTTGTATCATACTAGTTGTACAACAGTTAAGTATGATGTGCTGAACAAATTTACCTGTATCTCTCGTCTATGGCGAGTGCTTATTGGTGCTAAAAGACAGATTATGCGAGGACGCAGCGCGATCCGTACGTGGCTGGGCTTTTACATGCAGTTCAATGGCAGATGCAATACGGCGATGATGTAACACATTCCCGTGAACTTCCCCAAACACTTTGTCATCCGCCTGTAGGAAACTGCACTTTCGGAAGCTGTTCAGTCCTGAATGTGAATGACTAGTAAGCATTGACCACACAGCCATCCGAAAATCTTTTTGTAAAAACGCGTATAACACTGGATTCGCGGCACTGTTTGCGTATCCGATCCACGTGAGCATACTCATCAACCAATGTGGATATATACAATGTTGTTCACACATTGCACGAATTACATAGGCCAAAAAGAATGGTAACCAACAGATCATAAAGCATCCTAGTAGCAGACCAATAGTCTTGATCGCCTTCAGTTCCGTTTTCATTGACGAAGTAGTTGATCGCTGTAATGACGGTCGAAAGGCGAATAGAAGTCGAGATCCACGCGACTCTTGCACGGCTGAATAACACCTCGTCGATTGGCCATTATTGCTTCGTTTTCGTCTTGTGAATTCAAAGTTTGCCGTAACCGGTTCAGACTGATTGGTCATTGTGAAAGATTTCTCGTCCATGAGGTCCGACCAATGTCGTACCCCGATGTTGGACAGAACCAGAGCGGACTGTGTGTTTCTGGTGAACTGACCATTCTGGTAGTCACCGATTCTTCGTGACTCCCGAAACGATCGAACACGAATTCGTCGTACCTGAAGTGCCTGAGTGTGTGCTATACACAATATCCGACCGTAGAGAATACAGAATACAAAAAATGGAATGTAAAACGACGTGCATGATGAGACGATTGCATAGGGTATATTCACTTTCAAATCACACTCGGGCTTTTCAGTCAGTGGTGAACTGATTGCAGTTTGATTGCTGTCGGTGGTGCTGACGGTGGTGGTGGTACTATTGCGTACGCTGTTGCTTGTGGTACTGTTAGCGTCAATCGATATATAGTTATTCAAATGTACTGTTCGATACCAATCCGCTTCATTCCACCCCATGTGAATTGGTATGAAAGATATCAGAGCACTGATGAACCACACCGCAAGCATACTCAATCGAATTCGCAGCGCATTGACTAGAACTGCGTAACGCAATGGATAAGCGATAGCCATGTATCGATCTAAAGCAACTAGACACAGATGCAATATGGATGCAGTACAACACAGCACATCGAACGACAGCCAAACTTTGCACAATGCCGACCCAAGCGGCCAATAGCCCAATCCCACATAGAGCATGGACCACGGCATGACGAGAATTGTCACACAGATATCCGCAATCGCCAGTCCAGTAAGAAAGTGAAAACAGAACTGCGCTCGTAGACGGGCACACTTGTACACTGAGATAACCACGAACACATTGCCCACAAATGCCAGTATGGTCAACAGGGACAGGACCATAAATAGACCAACAAAACAGACGGTGCTTGATAAGTAGCTCATTGTTTTTAATACAAATGTTTCATTTCTATTGTATAAAACCAGTTTTCTTTCGAAATGTAAGCTCCTTTTCAATGAGGCATAAAATTATTCATCAAAGCTCTCTTACACCAGCAGCAGTAAAAATACAAATCACACCAAGTTCTAATCACAAATGTGTGAATGGTTAGGGAAGACTGACCAATCAAAATTCGGGATGTATGCACCAATCAGAAGAAGGGTCGATCAAAATAAAATCAGAAAGATTAACTTTGGAGTTGGGATGACAGTAGTACTGTGTGGCATTTAGAATAAAATTTCCAGATAATGAACTTGGTTCTTTTTCGATCATATGAAGATCCACAACTACAATCGTCCCTTATTATACTCATCACATCAATAGCAAGTATTATTCTTAAAAAAGGACACTTGATACAGAAAACGATAATGTAAAAATGAAGCTTTTTCGCGACAAATTGAAAAATTGAAACCAAAATGTTGTAAACACGCGATGTTTTAAGTATCATTCAAGAATTCTCACTTCCAACAAGTAACTGGTCAGTGAGTTTCTTGATGTATACACTGAATCCTACACGAAGTTTTCTAACAAAATAATTTTGGTCAACAGCCACACTCCAAAAACACGTCAAATTTACCAGCATACGATATCCATCCATCTATCTATTAACGCCACTCGCGTAAAAGAACACTCGCGTAAAAGAACATTAATGGCTGATATGTACTCTATACTTGATGTGCTAATCTTTTTTCTACACGGTTTCGCGAAGTACAAAACTTATTTAGGATTTTTCACCGTTTGGTTCACATTGCTACATTTAAACTTGTCCACTATGCTGACGTTTTTGTTTTCCGTGAACTGTGAGCAAGTTCCTAACACGTCGTGAATACGTGAATTTAATTTGATCATTGTCTCTCTGCCTCTGCACGGATCCCACTTTGTTCAATCCGACTGGAATTTGTAAATAATCGAAATTCATCTTCTGTGTTTTGATTATCTTATCTCGAAATGTGGCCACAACCAAAAACGTACTTTTGATGGGGTGGGGTGGGGTTCGTTTTGGACCTAGTATTTTTTCTCGTTTGGTTTACAATAAAGATCTCTATGATAGTGAAACAAATGCCTGATCCCTGTTACTAAGTCCACGCAATGAATCGTTTTATCCACCTCGAGGGCTAGATATCCAGTAACCACAACCACAGTGTGTCGACAATGAAATACTGGGAAAAATGTATAATACAGCAGGTAAAAGAAGAAAAACAGGACAGCGGCATCACAAAACCAATGACATGCAATGGTGTTAAGGATCGGTTTAGATTAGCATTTTGCGCTGATTTTATGCAACGAGTTCATGGTTTGTGAGGCATCCGGTGAGATACCGGACAATAGAGTAAGCCTGTAAGCCTCAGTGAGAGCTTTCATAAGTGTATTACCGGAACAGGTTGATGAATAAGAAAGACGCTTACTAGAAGCAAGATACACGGAATTGGAACACTCATAAAATCTTATTGGAGAATGTTTTACGGGGCTTGAGGTAGAATAGTACCACCAACATATGATGTACCATCTGTCTCCGTGGTGTAAGATCACATACCGACAGAAACTTGAGGGATCGGGAAATGAGTTTGTGATCGTTTTTCAAACGACCAGGAAAGATAACAGAGAACCGATAATACCAATGGGGCAAAACGCAAGCGAAAACAAAATGTATTATGAGATGATTTAAGATAGAGTGATGTAAGACGTAAAAGAAAAGAAGTTGAATCTGCTGGTCTTCAGAAAGACATCATTAACAAGGTCAAACTAGGTGAGGTTACAGTTGAAAATAAAACAGATATTTCGCAGACGGTTATTGATCTACTCAATAATTCAAGGTCGATAAAGGCGGGGTGGCATTTGACAGTTCATCAGCTTTTGGACTTTCGAAAAGGGAAAACTTGACGTAACCAAATGAAATATACCTTTTGCAATTCAAGTTGTCTGGGCATCACTTCAAGTTGTCTTTCTGATTTTATCGGCTCTGACAAGCCCATGTACTGTTCCAGACTCCCATGGATGTCTGGATGACTACCATGCAGCATTGGCCTCCCAACCGCGGAATGAGGCGCGGGGAAGATGATTGTGAGCCGTGCGTCGGTCACAACTCAATTCCCACTACATCTTGCTAGTACGCGTACGCGTCTGTGTTTGTTCGTCTGCTTCCCCTGGAAAGTCATATTGGGCCATGCACCGCTGATACAAATGAATCATGTGCGATCAGCGCTTGAGCTATTATTTACATCCATCACATGATGCAATAGAACTCATCAGCTACACCCAAAGCAGCTGCAGTAAAACACCGATCGATCATGGTCGGTCGACCTACGTATTCTCATTGGCCAGAGTCGAATCCAGTTCATGCGACCCTGGCAGATTACATTCAATCTCTTTGTTATCATCACAAAAGGACCAACAACATTCTCCCCTATAAGTGCATAACAACCAAAATAACGATTTTGAATATATATCCACAGATATCTCTAGCTATTCAACTGTAGCCAAAATAAAGTGATGAGGACTTTCGAAATATACCATACATTTTATGATACTTGCGGCATTGTAGAAGACAATCCAAGTTAAAAATTTGAATGTTTTTTTTCAAAACTGCGGTATTATGAATATGAATGCTGAAAGTGATAATTTTCATCGTTGAAATCATATAGACTTAGATCAGTCTAGGAATGTTTGGCCTAGGCACAACAAAAGACAACCCAAAATACAATTTTCCGTTGACGACGTTTCGACCCTGTTGGCAAACCTTTTCCAAGTCAATTATTAAGCGAACATTTTTAAAAATGTGAGATCACCGTTTACAAAAGGTGCGTGTGTGTGGTGATAAATGAGAGCATGGAAATTATGAATGAAACAAGAGGTCAAAGAGCTAAGGATGAAATCATAGAGATGGAAGATCAGCCTGTGAGCAGTTTTGTGCTGTGGCGAGATTTAATATTGTGTGTCAGTATGCATGTGTGTGACGCAAAGTGGATCGCTGTTGATGAACAGTGACTCAGTAAGTAATCGTTCACCATACATGACCTGAAAACTTGTTTTAGATTAATCGGTTTCTTTTCGAAATCTATACAGTGTCCCTCGGAAATGGAATGCAAAGCAATAGCTGAGTCCGTCTCAACGATCCTAAGCTCCGACATCTTTCTTAAAGGGTATTTGGATTTCCTATCATGTTCGACTATCCGTTTCTTTGGTTGCCAACATGGTTGGCCGACGTACGTGGCTGTACACTGTTTTCATGCTTGATTTGTAAATGCGATTCAATGGATTAGCTTTCGGTCGTTTGTCCTTAAATCACATTAGGAGTGGACGAAGGGTGTTGGTTACCCGAAACGCGGCCCGTTTAGTGAAACGATTCAATTTAGTTCAATAAGATATGACACTGGTCGCAATCCAGTTGGTCTTTTTCATTTCAGGTTCTATGCATCTTTGAAACCTTTTTCGAATTTTCTGTTTCTGCTTCTTTTGTTTCGGGACGAATTGGTTCGCTCTGGTTAGGAATTCGGGCATCACAGTAGCCTTCATATTTACGGGGTGGTCAGAGGAGTGCGTTGGCTTTCTGTACGCGGATATTGATAAATTACCCAAATCATTGAAAGTTACTTGGTCGTCTAAGAAGTGAATGCTTTTACCTCACGTTTCTATTGTAAAATTAAGGTTTTCGTGAAAATGTTTGATATATTGTGTAAAAGGTTACACAAAATCATTCTTGATCACTACGAAGATATCATCTGAGTACCTTCACAGATTCTTGGTGATTAGATCTCATTTATTACCACACACACACACACCAGCTTAATTTTTCCATCCTCCAGATCAATCAAAAGCATCTCCATTTGATACGGTTACTCTTAGGTGTTGTTTAATGTTCAGTTGTAAATTGACTTGAAAAAGTCATCCCAAGATCATCGTAACGTTGTCAACGGAAAATTGTTGGTTTGTTGGTTTCCTCTCATCGTGGCTAATCCAAACACCTCTATACAGAACTAATACCATAAGCATGATGCACAATTTCTTTAAAGGCATTCCTTCCAAATTCCGATCTGATTCCGTGGTCATATAGTTTTATTAAAACACTTCTAAAAGCAGAGTTGGCCGAGTGACTTGAGGCTAAGTTATTGTCATACCTTAGCCTCAAGTCACTCGGCTAACCATTCGTAAGTGGCTTATGCGAGCTGGCTTCGAACAATCACCAAAGCAACCTAGGGCATGCTTAATCAAAATCCGTATGTTTTCTCTATCAGGTGAAGACGCGGAGCCTTTGAATTTGGCCGTGCCTTGTTTTCGTGGAATATTATTTTCGTAAGGTTACTGTGGTGGAACGCGTTAACATCACTTTTGACCGTTCCATCTATTATCTCAAGTAACGTTCGTTTGCTCACGGGAAAACTCGATGATGTCAAGAGCATGATATACCAGAAGGAATGCAAGGATGTAGGGACAAGTCTACTCCAGGAAAGCTGGTTACATCCTGACATTGAGGACAACGTCGTGCATCTTGATGGATTTGACTTATTCCGAGTCGATCGTAAAGTGAGCTTTCCTCATAGAGGTGGTGGAGTGGTCACTTTAATCAACAGAAAACGGTGTAAAACCGCTCGTAAATGTTTTCAATTCAATACTCCCAAGATAAATTGTATTTTTTTTATCGTAAGCCCCGATTTATTAGTCACTTTCATCATATTACATTAGCGAACATTTACATCGCTC